CTATCTTAAATATGTTAAAAATGTAATTTTATTACTTTAGGTCATATGATAGAATAACATATAAGGAGCATTCTATGGTAAGTACATTTTCAGAACTTAAGCTTTGATGACTGTTACTATATAAATTATTACTTTATAAAATATCTAACAATATTATTTAACTATTTGTGTTAATAAATTAGTTACTGCATGTAGAATATTGTTTCTACTTATTATAAAATCTGTTTAGACTCATGGTTTAATAAACAAACCCCCTCGCAAGTCACATGTTTTGAGAGAAATTAGATATTTGAGGAAATCTGAATATTTGAGGAAATCTGTGATGCTATTGATACCAAAAGCCTCATTTTCTCGTTTAGTGAAAGAAATTATTATAGACTTATTTCCTAATTCTTTTGTAAATAGGTAAAATTTTAAATATTTATATTTTAAAAATAAATTTAGTATTCTTCAAATATACTATGAATTTTATAATTTATATTTAGAATACAATCAACTGCACTTGAAGCACTACAAGAAGCAACTGAAGCATATATGGTTCAATTTTTTGAAGATTGTGTATTATTGTCATTACATGCAAAACGTGTAACTCTTCGAATTCATGACATGATTTTGACGCGACGACTCAGAGGAAGAGGAGATATTATAAATAAATAAAATAATTTTATTCTTAAGTTTAACAAACTTATAGCAGAATTATAATTTATTAGACACTATGTGTTATTAAAAATTTGTTGATATTGTATCATAATTAATGATGGACAATGTATTTTATTGTATAGAAAACTGCTGCACTTTTATGATTTTATATTTATGATTATATATTTTAATATTAATTAGTAAAAAATTAGGAAAAATATGATTAATATTTTAGAAGTTGATTAATTGTTACAAATAATAATGAAATATAATTAATAAATTTATTATAGTTTTGTTATATAATGAGCAGTGTCGACTTATCGTTTCCCGTTACCGCCAATTGTTCCTTTAACTCTGCATTATCATCATAAGAATCAACAATCTCTGAACTTGTTTGAGAGTCTTCCTTCTCGTCCTCTACGTTTGAAGTTACAGTTGACAACGTTACAGTGTTGACAGGCTCCGATTTCGTTTCTGCAACTGTTTTCAATCGCTGTCTAGGAACTGGTATTGGACTTTGACTCTCGTTCGATTTTGTTTTCTGATTGTTATTAAATTTATAAGACTGAAGATTAACAGTTGATTCTTCTTCTACTTTGCTCTGCGCCCTTTGCGGAGTAGTAATTTTAAAAGGAGTATCTTCTAATTTAGTATCAGAAAGTCACATTAACACCTCCGAGGATATTCTAGAGTCAATTTTGTTCTCAATGCTTGATATAAGGGAATCTTCAGTCTTCATGTCTGATACTAAACCATCTTCATCTAACAAACCATCCAAGCTATTGGACCTTGGTCTCGCTTGTACTTCTGGCTCTTTAACAGGGGAGATTGATGTCTTCTCATCTTGATCTAATAGTTCCAAAGAACGGGATCTGGTGGATGAAGAAGGGGGATGTAGTGGTGGCCTTCGTGGCAGTGGACTCCCTCCGGGTTGGGTACGGGTAAACTTCAATCGCAGAAACGTAGGCGGAAAACGCATTAACCAACGGGAAAGACTTGACGATTTTCTAAGCCTGTAATGTGAATGAAAACAATAGTACGTCAATTATTAAGTACTAATAATTGAGCACAGTTATTTTAGTACTATAACTGATATAACGATCATGCAGACCCCAGTATTCTTTATTTTAAGGCGAAACGTTGACATTTATGAACATTGATTTGCTTTTAGATTAGACATATATTATTAATTCGTGCTAGAATGATTTTTTTAGTTATTATTACACTATTACACTATTGTGTATCGTTAAAAGATCATTCTTAGATTAAATATATTCAAGCCAACACGTCATAGCTACATAAATAATAAATACTGAAATAAAGTCCAATAATAACATGAAATAAGCAGACAACGTTGAGAACAATTTGATAGGATACCAATATAAACTGACACCAATTAAAACACAAATGAAAGGCTGCCAGGTTTCTAGCTTCCTCTCTTTTCGAGCTCAAGACTGGTACCAGCCACTCTAGCCAGTTCTTGCTCTGACCATGTGCATGTGCTAGATTCGACTTGGCGAATTCGTAGGGGTTATGCGAGGTGACGAATGGTTCAACTAGATCCAAGGTACCAGATTTCAATACCGCAGCTTCTATTTCCTTATTGGCTACTAATACAGCAATTGCTAAGCAGGCATAGTACTTAATGTTGTCGTCATTATGGAAAGCTAGGGGGAACAGCCACATGGGTACCTTCCTTCTGATCATAGCTTTTTGATTCTCTGCACCACCATATAGTGATAGATTGGCTAGGGCACCGGCACAGTGCCTTAACGTTTCAACGTCATTCTTCCTACATTCGAATAGGACGGCATCTAGACCACCCAGTCTGATCACATCGCTACAGGTTCCTTCGCTGTGTTTGAACAGATGTTCCAAGATTCCAGTACCTACTCTAAGAGTGGTCTACTGAGTTCGCATTCTTCGTGCACACACAGGCAACGTTCACTACCTTTTCTAGACCACGTTCCACCACGTGTGCCCTGTTTTCTGTAGTCAGACATTGTTCTAACAACCTGGCTAAGGAGAACCGTAGCTCGTGGTCGCTGGCTATACAGTTGGACAGTAATAGGTCAAGACCACCCCTCGTTCTGAGGGTGTTGCAGAGGATATAGCCCAGTTCGTGACCATGAGTGGGGACTGCCCATGCTTTCCTAATTATTTCGTTCACTCTGTTCAACAACAAAGGTGCTTTGCCATTTTTGCAATCGTTAGCCTTTAGACGTTCTACAAAACTGTCCAAAAAACTGGGGTATTTGGCGATGGCTCGATCGACGTCCTGAGGATTTGATTTTGAACATAGAAGATCCAGATCGTCCAGGGGTAAGGAAAGGAGTTCGTCTTCGGCTGGCCTTATTCCGTTCATCAGCTGATTCACTGCATTCGCTGCGCTGATCATCGACGATTTTGATGTGACTCCTTTGGACGCAATCGTGATACTTGACTGCGAACTGGCTGCAGAAATGTGTTTCTCGTGGTTGAAGATCCCAGTCGAAGTGTCTGTTTGCCTTTGTTGTTGCGCTGCCATGGCTTTCGGAAGGAGAAAACAGTAATTTTCTTTAGAATTCTTTAATTTCCTTCATTCAAGCGATAAAAAGATATTACCATCGCGATGTTCCCTTTTCAAATCTCAAAGGGTCTACACTTCATTCTGTAACTACTAACAAAGGAAATACAAAAATTTTTCCAAATTTTCCGTATACGCGAACAATTCTCTACTGCTCGGAGCGTCCATGTTGCTCAGAACCAAATTACTAAGCGCAAAGAGCATCATCAATCTCAAGACCAGGAGTTCTAGGTTGGCGCTGAACAGAATCGTAACTTG